CAGGTCTTACTGAGTTTGGGTGGGCTTTAAAAAAAGAATCTTGGAATTTTTTTCTTTAACTCCTCCAGACCTGTGGGAACCCACATGTGACTCAGTTTCCATCTGGAGTCAAACTCTGACTTAGTATTGAGGGCTGTGAAAATGTTCTGATTAAGCCCATGGGAAAGAGCATTTTTGCCCATGAGAAAGAACACATTATTTACAGATACCTAGGCTGGTGAATGCCAGCCGAAGGCACATCCAGATAGAGACAGAAACTGCTTGCTGCAGGACTCATATGATAGACTAGTCTGCTTGCGCTTTCTCCCGAGGACAGTGCAGGGAGGGGGTCAGCTGACTGTCCTGCTCTTTGTTCTGCCTTTAATCCGTATAAAAGCAAATTCTGAAATAAACTCTGGACTGGTCAGCATTTACTGACAGACCTCCTAAACTAGTCTGTGTTTTCTGTCTCAATTTCTTTCAGTCTGCCATTTCCTCAACCTCGCGCCCCCTTCCAGGTACCCCAGTTGACTTTGTTGGAGCAGGCTCCGACACAGACTATATGCAACATTTAATTTTCCATTAATTATAAACTCTGGTCTCATGGATAAAAAGCAACAACTGAAGTGTACCAATAATCTTTTCATTGAGAATAAGGAAAACTGGAAATAAATCATCTTTAAGCAATGCTTCTTGATGTTTCTCTCAATGTGGAGTCTTTAAGCAACTGTTCTCACCAAAAGGAGAAAGGTTTTAGAAAGGTTTTAAACAAGCTTAAGGCTTGGATGGCAAATAGGTGGAAACAAGGCAATTATGTTGGTAGCTACTTCCTGTGTTGTTTATAATGATTATTTCATAAGTTTTCTTCTTCTTTGTAGCACGAATAATAAAAACCCAGAGACAGATTGGGTTCAACCTGAAGATCAGAAAAGCAAAGCAGCCAAACCACTAGATATAACCTTTTACCTCTACCAAATCTTCAGACCGAAGGAGCGAGAGAGATCCTGTCTCCACAAATCCCCAAACTCCACACTACACTGAGTTTCCCTGTCTTCCTCTTTTTTTTTCTCTCTCCAGTCAGTCATATTGCTCCTTTCTCCACCTCCCCGATGCTGGGATTAAAGGTGTGTGATCCCAAGTGCTGGGATCACCTTTGTATGAGCTCTGATTCTCATCCGTTAGACAGATTCAATCTTGTGGAGCTCAGGGTGGCCTTGAATGCACAGATGGCCACCTGTCTCTGTCCTCTGTTTCCCGAGTCCTGGGATTAAAGGTGTGTGCCACCACTCCCTGGTCTGTATGGCAGACTAATATGGCTGCTTTGTTCTCTGATCTTCAGGCAAGCTTTATTTATTAAAAACACAAATAATATACCACCACATTTCTTCCTCCTTCCTTCTTCGTCTTTTTTTTTCTTTTTCTTTTTCTTTTTTTTCCACAGCACCATACCTGTCTATTTCTTAACTTTCTGGTGTGGTTTACTTGTGCGTTTTGTGTATGTGGGCCACTACAAGGGTGTGGCTTGATTCGAGACAGGGTCTCTGTTATTTCTGTGCTGTGTTCACCAGGCTAGGTGGCCCCTGAGCATCCAGTGATTCTGTTTCTTATTTTCTATCTCCATGAATGAGCAATGGGATTCTAGATCTCCCATATTTCTGACTTTTTAGGGAAGGTACTGAGATTTGAACTTAGATCATCATACTTGTACAACAAGCACTTTTACCAACTATACCATCTTCCCAGTCTCTCTCTCTCTCTCTCTCTCTCTCTCTCTCTCTCTCTTTCTCTCTCTCTCTCTCTCTCTGTGTGTGTGTATGTGTGTGTTTGTGTGTGTATGTGTGTGGGGAGGGGGTCTTTGCAAACGCCACCACCAGCAAAATGAGGATCCATGTGAGATAAGAAGAAAATCCCCGGTTTAACACGATTCATTATCTGGTGTTGGTTCAAACTTCTAGAGTCTGACACCAGGCAGTTTATTTTAGGCTATTTAAGTACGGTACAATCTGGGGGGAAGGGGAGTTCCCGGTATAACACAATTCCCTGTGTACAAGGAGGCAAGATTACATCGAAACTCTTCTCAAAGTATGAGTTACTTCTTTCAGGAAGATGGATTTTAGAGATAGGCTGCAGGTGTTATCAGGGCCTAGGGGAGGATTTGGTGTAGTCTCAGTCATACAGATAGCACAGAGGTCATCTAGACTATGCCTCCGGTTGTCAGAGCTTGGGGGAGCTCCTACCCATATGAATAGGGCAAGGATTATCTGGGTTATTAGCCACCCCCAATCCCAGCCTTCTGTTCAGAAATCAATTATACATCTCTTCTACAGAAGAGACAGCCCTGTGCGTTTAACATTCCTGGTTT